CCCCACCCAATTGCCCTTTTAAGAGGGCGGTGGCGGCGCGCGGTGCATTGTGGGGGGCGGTCGAGGCGGCCCGCGGGCGCCGGGGCCGGGCGGGGTGGCGTGGCCGGGACTGAGCTCCCCTCCGGCACCATGAGGTGGGTGCAGGGCGGCGCCCCCGCTATGGGTGGGACCCCCCTTTGACGTCACGGCGATGACCTCACGCGCGCGGTCTTTGACATCACAATGCCACATCGCGCGCTCGTTGCCTCGCCCCAGCGCGGGGAAAGAACCTAGGAGTCCCGGCCTCCTGCACCCCCTCGTGGGTTTGGGGTGGGTGGGGGCAACTGGTGCCTTCCTGCCCCGGGCCCGCGGGGGGTGACAGGATAGGAGTTGGGGCCATAGATCTCGCCCCCCGCAGCCAGGCAGCCCCGCCCCTGGGAGCTCTAGCCCTGAAGGGTCCGAGATCCCTTCTGGGGGGAAGGGATGCCCCCACCCTGCACTGCTCCCACCTCCGCCAGGGGAACTAGGTCCCCTGGAGGACCCCGCTGGGCTTCGGTGCCTCAGTTGCCCTTCCTGCCCCAGCCCTTGGGGGGGGGGGGGCGAGGTGCTCTGTCCCCCTCCCAGGTGACAGGTGAACCCTAGAGCAACCCCAATGCATGGGGAGATATTTTGCCCCCCCCCTCCCCCGCAAGAGCTGCAGGGAGATTCCTGCCTCCTTGGAAGGCGGGGGGCAGCAGGGGAGGCTCTGACCTGGTGCCTGCCCCCCTCTCCCCCCTCCTTTGCATGGGACAATGGGATCAGACTTCCGGCCTGGCCCTGGCCCTTCCTGGTCTCCCTGCCAGGCTCCTGCTCCCGCCCCCCGGGAAAAGGGGGGCAATTAACCCCTTGGCTGCCCGAGCCATGGGCATTAAGGGGTCCCTGTGGCATGGAGGGGCTCTTCTGGGGTCCCCAGTGCCCCCCGCTCCAGCCCCGCAACACCCTGCCCCCTCCGCCGTACTGCTGGTGCCTGTCATTACCTGCAGCCCCCTGATGCCCCTCACTCCCGACCCCCTGCTGGTGCCCCACACTCTTGACCTGCAGCCCCCTGCCCCCCCCATCCCCAGCTGGGCTGAGTTGGGGGGGGTGGGCAGGGGCAGGAAGGTGCCAGGGAGGAAGTGAGTCAGGAGTAAGTGGGAGGGGAGCTGCCTGGGAGGGGTGGGGGGGAGCCTTGAGGAAGCAGTCACTACTCCCCTCCTCCACTCCCCCCAGGTGCTTCCTGCTCCTGCTCCTGCCCTTGCCTCTGCCCCGGGGGTGGGAGGTGGGTAGCGAAGATCCCTAGCATGGAGGGTGGCAGGGGCACACATCACCCCTCCCAGCCAGGCAGGAGCAGGGTCCCCGAGACAATGGGGGGAGGGGACG